CCAGAAATTTGTAGCAATGGTGGAAACTGAATGTGATGCTAGAGTTAAAGTAATTCGTTCAGATAACGGAACAGAATATTGTAACAACATAATAAAGAACTTCTTTGTGAACAAAGGAATAAAACATCAACTGACGACACCATATACTCCTCAACAGAATGGCCTGGCTGAACGATATAATAGAACCATCATGGATAAAGTTCGATGTATGCTACAAGATTCAGATAGCGATCCAAGGATGTGGGCAGAAGCAGCTAACACAGCCGTTTATCTAATCAATCGTTCTCCTGCGAAGAAAATATTGGGAGTTACTCCTGAACAAGCTTGGACAAATAAACCAGTGGATCTGGAGCACATACGAATATTTGGGAGTGTTGCTTATGCACATATACCAGACGAGAAAAGGATAAAGCTAGATCCCAACAGCAAAGAATATTTATTTGTGGGATATTGCGATGATAGCAAAGCTTACAGATTATTTGATCCTGAAACGCACAATGTCATAAAATCAAGAGATGTCGTATTTATTGAGGATAGATCTGCAAAAATTTTTAAATGTGATAATCAGCCTGAGGCACAACTACAACAAATCCTACTACTCTCAGAAGAAGAAGAAAAAGAAGAAGAAGAAGAAGAAGATAGGACAGAGTTAGTAATGGAAAATAATGAGTCGGAAGCAGGGAGTGACATCGAATATCATTCTTTAGATGATGACGAGGCTGCAAATTACCCTTTAGATCAAGATGACGACATACAGGGTCAACGGAGATATCCTTTGAGAGAAAGAAAACCCAAAGATTACTCAGATTTTGTAATGTATTATACTGCTTGTGATACCCTTGAGCCAATAACTGTAAAGGAAGCTTTATCAAATAGCGATAGCTTAAAATGGAAAAATGCAATGCAGAATGAGATTAATTCATTTCATGAAAATAACGTATGGGAACTTGTTGATAAACCTAATAATGTAAACATTGTTCAAAATAAATGGGTCTTTAAAGTTAAACATAATGCTGATGGCGATGTTATATGTTACAGAGCCAGGTTAGTGGCTAAAGGGTTTACACAAAAACATGGAATAGATTTTAAAGATACATTTGCTCCAGTAGTTAAGTATAGTTCTGTTAGATTATTAATTGCTCTCTCTGCTCAAATGAATTTAGAGATAGATCACTTAGATATTCATACAGCCTTTTTATACGGTAATTTAGAAGAAAAAATTTATATGGCTCAACCTGAAGGCTTTATTAAAGAGGAGCAGAAACATAAAGTTTATCTTTTAAAAAAGGCTATTTATGGACTTAAACAATCCTCTCGGGCTTGGAATTGTAAAATTAAAACTGCACTTATTAAATTAGGTTTCAAGCAATGCAAACACGAACCTTGTGTATTCACAAAGAGAAATAAAAATTCTATAGTTATTATAGCACTCTATGAAGATGATTTCTTTATTTTTTACAATAACATTGATGAAGTACAAGCTCTTAAAACATCATTACAAAATAATTTTAAAATTAAAGATCTAGGTCAGATTAATCATGCATTAGGCATGAAAATTGAAAGAAATAAAGAAAAAGGTGAAATAAAAATAAGTCAAAAACAATATTTGATTTCCGTATTAACTAAGTTCGGGATGCTATAGAGTGTAAATCTGCATGCACGCCTTTGGAATCAAATGTTAAATTGCTTCCTGGAAAGAAAGAACTTGACGATGAAAATTTACCATATCAACAACTTATTGGTTCTTTAATGTACCTAAGTGTAATGACTAGACCAGACATTAGTTTTGCGATATCCTATCTGAGTCAATTCAATGTAAATCATACTAAAGAACATTGGTTAGCAGCCAAGCGAGTACTTCGTTACCTTAAAGGCACGATACATCTAGGTTTAGTATACTCAAAGACTGTAAATTGCAAATTAGTTGGATATGTTGATGCTGACTGTGCTAATGATCCTATTGATAGAAGGTCACTTACAGGCTATGCCTTTACTTGTGCAAATGCGGCTGTGTCCTGGGAATGTCATAAACAAACCAGTGTCGCTTTATCATCCACCGAGGTGGAATATATAGCCCTTAGTGAAGCAGCTAAAGAGTCGGTACATTTAAAAAGTTTTTTAAATGAAGTACTAGGGCAGAATCAAACCATTATGTTGTATGATAGTAATAATTACATAGAACTGCATAACGACAATCAATCTGCCCAAAAGATAGCATATAATCCTATCTACCATCGACGCACTAAACATATTGACACTCGTTATCACTTTATACGAGAAAAAATTGATGAAGGAAAAATAAAAGTAACATATACGCCAACTACTCCAATGATAGCGGATGTTTGTACTAAGCCGTTGCCTGGTCCAAAACATAAGTTTTGTACTACTGGTTTAGGACTTTGTCAATAATATTTTTTTTGCTTATATAATAAGTTTAAAGTAATGACACCGATTATATTGTTTTATTTATGTTATTAAGGGAGTGAGTTGGTATAATACCATAAATATCTGTTAGCGTTCCACTTCATGTCATTACAATTTTCATAGGTCTAGTAACTTTATATTCTATGTTGTGATCTCTCTAGGTAGTTTTATGATATTCTATGACTTAAGTTTTTTCGTTTGAATTTATGAACACATCTTCGTTCCGACGCAGTGATGCACATTGGGGTCCCAGCACGCCGCGTTCGGCTTGACTCGGCTAAGAGAGCGCAACACTCTATCACTTTCTGTGTGAATATAATAAAAGTTATTCTGAAACTTAATCCGATTCTTGTTGTTGATATCACGAATCTAAGAGGTTATGGGCCCAGTCAAATTGTGAGCTCAAGTGTGATATCAGAAGATCAAGTAATTCGTCAAAACAAGAAATATAATTAGTCTATCACTTTCTGTGTGTATATAATAAAAGTTATTCTGAAACTTAATCCGATTCTTGTTGTTGATATCACGAATCTAAGACATTCAGGGGAATTTTCCAAAGATATTCAGGATAATTATAAGCCATAATTATCCAGAACATCTTAGAAAAATTCTCAAATGTTCTAATAAAATACATATTTGAAAAAAGATAAAATTGAATTTAGAGATATTTTATTAATGTAGAATCGTTATGAGTGGATCCTAAGAAGGCAAGCAGAGAGGGAACATAGACGTAGGTTGAGATTAGAATTATTTAAATATGATGAATCAAGTGAATCGTATGAGGAATCTCATCATGCTCATGAAGAAATTCTAGATTTAGGAGAATTAGATGTAGATGTTAATATGAATGAACAGGAACAATTTGAACAATAACAGATGGAAAATGAAAGTTTGACTGAGGGCGATATTTTTAATAATAACGATAATGTAGATTGGTTATCAGAAAGTACAGATTATGCAGAGGATATTACTGATAATGAATCAGATGAGTTTGATAAAGAAGTTTACTTGCGTGTGACTCTAACAGAATGGGCTTCTCGTGGTGTCTCAAAAAGAAAAGTTAACAGTTTGTTGAGTCTTTTACGTAGGGTGCATCCTGAGCTCCCTAAAACATATGTAACCTTGCTGAATACGCCTAAGACTACGGTAGTGACTGAGATTGATAATGGACATATATGGTATAAAGGAATAAAAAGAAATCTTGATTTCCTTTTGACTCAAGAATATTTAGATACTCATGGACGAATACGATTGAACATCAGCATAGATGGCTTGCCTTTGGATAGTTGTGGAAAATTGCATTTTTGGCCTATTTTAGGATCCTTGGCTGATAAGACTTGTGAGCCTTTCATTATTTGCGTCTATTTTGGTATAGAGTCGAAGCCCTCAACATTGGAACAATTTCTAGAATATTTTATTATAGAGATGGAGGAACTTTCCACAAATGGTTTCGAATTTAATAATTATATCTACACTGTATCTATATATAACTTTATTTGTGATGCTCCAGCGAGATCTTTCATAAAGTATACCATTGGACATAATGGATTATTTTCTTGTGAAAAATGTGAGGTTAAAGGTGAATGGTATCATAATAGGATGGTTTATTTGAATAATGGACAGAAGCGCACAGACCAAACATTTATTGATAGGAGAAATCCTGAGCATCATTTAGGATTATCGCCATTAGAAGAGCGACTCTATATTGGAATGGTATCCCAATTTAGACTTGAATATCTTCATCTTGTATGTGTTGGTGTGATGAAGAGATTTTTGATGCGATTATTGGAAATAAGAAACCGAGGCAAATTAAGAGATGAAGACATAGAAACATTTAAAAATACTTTAGCAAGGATTGGACAATTCATACCTAAAGGATTCACTCGAAAACCCTATCGATTTAAAAAGGTTTCTCATCTTAAAGCTACAGAGCTTAGAAGATTTTTACTATATGATGGTGTTAAAATAATGAAGGATCATACCTCTAATCGAACATATCACACCTTCTTACTTCTTCATTGTAGTATTTACATTTTCTCCTTCACTCGTGCAAAACATTGCAATGAGAAATGCTGCTAGAGAATTCTTGAATTTGTTTGTACAGTGAAGCAGCCAAATCTTTAGCCGTGATTTTATCGTATTTAATGTGCACAACCTTACTCATCTAGTAGATGAATGCGATGAGCATGGATGCTTGGATTCATTTAGTGTTTCCCTTATGAAAACTATTTGAAGACAATAAAACAGTCATTACGATCAGGATATCATCCTTTACAACAATTAGCAAAAAGAGATTTTGAAACCAATGGGCGCTTGTCAGAGCCAAAGAATATTATTGAAGGTATAAAATTGACAGGAAATCATATTGATCCTAATGAAACTGTTGAAGGACAGCATTATAAAATACTCACAAACAATAATTTTACATTAAGATGTGTTGCTCCTGATAATTATTTTAAAACTGAGGACGGTTCTGTGTGGTACTTTTACGAAATATTGTTCATTCTGAAGATACTGTGATCTTACGTGGGCAGCAATTTGAGGTACAGAATAATTATTATCAATATCCAATTGATTCATCCTTTATTGGCATTGTTCTTGTCTCTCAATTGGCTGAAATAGTTACATCTTGGAAAATGAATGATGTAATTGTGAAATGTGTCCTTATTCCTGAAAATAAAAATTCATATCTATGTATTCCTCTTGCACACAGTCCTTCTGGAATATTATGATTACTAATGATAACGGTGAGATGTATTATATATTTGTTTGTTTATATACTTATTCGTTTTGTAACGTGTTATACATGTGGTTCCTATTTTTATTTTTGTGGTAAGATTTATACTTTTAATTTTTTCCATTTATCATTAACTTGTGGTTTATCTGTGTATTTGTAAATTAATATGCATTTATCTTATGTTATTTCTCCCAGTATGCGGTGGTCACCTTCACGGGAAAGGAACAGGAGGATGAAAAAGAAACAATTGCAGTAGTTCCTGTGAAATGGATTGATAAACCTGATGATGAGATTACTGATATGTTTTGGCCTCCAAAAAACTGGCCAGAAAGAGGATCAAGATTAGTACATTTAAAAAAAGCTGTACAAAATTGCATTGAACCTGAAATTCAATGGCCTCTTCATAAAGGAACAGTTCTTCATTTATACCGTGAGTTCATTAAATCTCTCTCTCTCTCTCTCTCTCTCTCTCTCTCTCTCTCTCTCTCTCTC